GATTACCCACTTCAAGATCAAAAGTATTATATGCTATGTGCTTTTTAGCTTTCAGTGCTATGAAGGCAAAATGCTGTTCCCGTTGGTATTGCTGTTTCGCTGGGCACCAATGAATGTATGCTGTGCTAAACATAGACTAGAAGTAGTCTTTTTCTATAGCATGTTCAGCGTGTTTGGGAAATTTGCATACTATCCTTCATGTTCATGAAGATGGCTTTTGGGGTGCGGGCTACGGGGAAACCTGTGATTGCTAATCCTTCCTCCTGTCAGAGTCTCTTTTACCAAGACTGGTACGGTGCTTTGCGGAGCTCAGCATGAGGAGCATGTGAGAGACGGCTTTAATGACTATGTCTCACTCTGGTTTAGTCAGATGCTTGCTATGACCAGAAACAGGTACAGTGCATCTTTACAGGGGAAAACCCAGTTTAACACCCAGTTTGTACCTTTGTTGATTTAGGGGGGATTTTTTTTAAAATAAAATATTCTACACCAAAAAAAATCTATTTTAAAGAAGAAACCTACTGTCATTCTGTATATTTTATCAATGCTTTTGACTACATACCATCGTAATTTGTTCAGCAAATGTCCATGTTTGTGTGTGCTGTATAAATGGCAGCTTGCTTTTTCTCAGTGCCTTCATTACAGCTTGGATTTCTTTCTTTGGCACCATCAGTCTTGATCATATGCTACTTCCTGAAGTGAATGGATGTCGACCCACTTTTTACAGTGTTTTACATACAAAAGTATGCTATCTTGTTTTAACTCTGTGATTGCACTTGTGCTTCAGTCCCTTCAGGTTGAGAAATGCCCACTGGGTTCTTCCCTTTTGGTTTTCTAACTCCTGGTTTTGCACAATAGCAAGTCACATGGTAGGCATGTGACATTTACTGGAGCTGTTTACCTGGATCGCTTAGTTGCCCCTATATGAGCCTGTTGGCTTCTTCCACCCTGAAGTTACTATTTTCTCCCTTCCATCTTACATGTCTTTTCATTAGCTGTTCAACCAGACAATCAGGTAGGTAACATTGTGACTCTTACACAGTGCATATCATCTGATCTTTATGGAGCAAGGGGCATTTTTCATGCTAAAAATTACTTTTGGCATTTTTTTATCCAGTAGCATTGAATAAATTACAATTTACTACCAATACTAATAAGAATGAGAAATTCTTAATAAGAATAAGAATAGTAAGAATGAGACTAATTAAGACAAATAAGAATGAGGCAGGTGGAGAGCAAGTGGGCAGAGAATAGAGTGACTCAGGCAGTCTGATGTGCTGAGGACAGGTGACTTGGCTGCTTAACATCTGTGAATGGACCACCAGCCCCACACCCACAGCAGCGTCCCAGGTTTGCGCCCCTGCCCCCGGCAGCACCCAGCCCAGCGCCCCTGGCAGTGCCCCAGGGCCACTAGAGAGTCCTTCACAACACACAGAGATTGACCAACACAGCACAACATGAACAGTAGGATTTCGAATCAGAACTTTTGTTGGAACAATTAGTTTTGGAGCTATAGGAACACAAAGTCATGTTGCAGACCCAGCTATAGCCAGGAGCCACCAGCTGAGCTGCTGTGCAACCAATCTGGCAGAAGAAATTGGTGGATACTGGCTGAGTTCTGTTAAGCCCCATTAAGACACAGTGGGTCTGTTGGAATTTGACTGAATTTTTCTGTGCCCCCACCAATTACCCATGATCAAGCAGGCTGGTAGGATTTTGACTGGGTTTTCTTGGGCACCACCGACTGCCTGAGA